GAAGTCGGATAGGTCTAATGTTTTCTTACTGAAGGGTGTACGTAAAGCGCTCTCCTTGTGATAAAGCACATTTTTTAATTTGTTTTTGTAAGGTTTCTATTTGGATAGCAAAATTAATTTCAATCTCATCTCAATAATCTTATCTCAACCAGTTTTATTTTCCGTCTTCAAATGACTTTATGGAAGTTAACATTAAATGATAGTATTGCCAGGAGGGGTCATCTTTATGTAGAGAATATTGCCGTTTCATGTTCCTCAATTTTTTCTCCTACCTGTTCTAGGCTATAGTTGAGTTTGTGGATGGAAATTCAAGGATGACATTCCACTCATCTCGAGATCTGACCAAAACAAAGAAGCTCGCGGGAGCCAGCAACTACGCCACATGGTCTGTACTTATGAAGGCCATTCTTGTATGTGACGGCGTATGGGACGTTGTTGACGGCAGGGTCGTCAATGAAGAGAAAAATGACAGAGCTTTTTCCAAGCTACTTCTTAACATCAGGACTCAGACCTTCCCCCAGGTTATCGCATGTACTGGTGAAAGTTGTGCGAAGGCTGTTTGGAACAAACTCAAGACCAGCTATGGAAACTCAGGGCTCAAGTGTGTCTACTGAAAGGTTCACTGTATGGCCTCAAGCAAGCCTCTCGTGTGTGGAACCAAAACATTCATTCAACCTTGACTGAACTGGGTTTCAAGAGAAGTGATTCCGATGTTAGCCTTTACATTTTGAGAAAGGAGAAAACACTCGTTATCATCGCTCTCTACGTTGATGATCTGATTTGTTTGTACAACAATTCTTCCATGTTTAAGGAACTACAGGAGCAGCTTGAGCAGAAGTACCAGATCCGTAACCTTGGAGAGACCTATGATGTTCTCGGGATGAGAGTGCTGAGGGTCTCTCAGCAAGGACTGTTACCCTGGACAAGGAGAGATACATCTTGGACCTGGTTGCAAAGCATGGAATGCAGTCGTGCAACGCTGTCTCCACGCCAATGGAGCCAGGAATCCATCTGAACCAGGAGTCACCAGAGGACACTAAGTACCCTTACAATGAAGTTATTGGTTCAATTATGTATCTTGCAATAACTTGCAGCAAGTCCTTTGAGTTATTATCCCAGACACCAAGACAGCAGCATGTTAATGCGGCTAAGAGAGTACTTCGTTATATCAAAGGGACTGCCTCTGCAAAGTTGATGTACTGTGGTAACTCAGACTCTTTCCTCACTGTCTACACAGATGGTGATTGGGCGAACGACATGGACCTCAAGTCATACTCTGGCAATGTGTTTCTTTATGGAGGGGGAGCCGTATCTTGGATGTCAAACAAGCAACGGTGTGTTGCTCTATCCATCTGCGAGGCTGAATACATCAGTCTATCCGACACAGCAAGGGAAGCTGTGTCTCTCTCCGGACTCATGACTGATCTGACTGCAACCAAGAAGCAGCCTCTTCAGATTTTTCTGCGACAATCAAGGAGCAGCCTGCTTGGTTTACAATCCCGTAAATCACAGAAGAACAAAACATTTTGACATCAGATACGAACAGACTTGTATGCAAATGGTGACATTACTGTCAAGTATGTATCTACGTCTGCTATGGTAGCTGACATCTTCACTAAATCCTTGCCTCGACCTAAATTTCTGTTTTGCTGTGAGGGTTTTGGGCTGTCTTTGCCTAGTCCCAAATTTGTTTTTGTTTCTAAAAGCTTAGGCTTTCATTAATTGAAACTGACTGTGATCTAACTGTTACCTGATCTAATTAAATTCAATTACCTATTGCTGTGATCTTAGCAATGTTAATTTTGCTTTTTTGCATAAATTGATCTTAATGTCTTTTGACTAAGTATTGTTAAATGTTAATTCAATACTGCTGTTTGTGCACAACTTATCTTTGTGATATTTTATTTTTGCTTTTAGCTTGTAGTTCATCCGGCTTTCATCTTTCCATTGCCAACATTCATACATTTCTTTTCTGCTTGTCATGTATGTGTAATTTTTTTCAATCAATGATTTCATTTGACAATGTTATTATTAGCTTCAATCATTCACTTTTTCATTACATGTGGCTTAATTTGCAAATGTTTGTAGCAATTTTTCTTTTCCTTTTTGTGTAAATTTATTTCTTACAATTTTATGCTGTAAACAAATATTTTTTGCAAATGATTTGCTTAAGGGCCTAGTGTTAGGATTTCCTCTCTGTGTTCATACGTTGGCTATACTGTTTACTGTTTTTAATCCTTGCCAATAGCCATACTGCTAATACGCTTCCTTAGATAATGTATAAGTACCAATGCCTGGACTCAATAAACCACTCTTCTTGCCGGTAAAAGTTACGCTGCCTTTTTCCTCATATTATTTGCTTCGTATCGTCTCTGATCCGGTACGCCTGCCAAGATATCTCTGCTAATACATTTGCTTTGCAGGAATTTAACAGTCCATACACTGTATTTGTTTCAGGTAGCAACTTTGCTGACTTTCGAATTGTTTCTCGTCAACAACGCATTGCACAGCTGGGTGTTCCTCGGGTCAATCAGATGGTAGGGAGTTCACAGAGTTCAGAAACAAGATTTATCATTTCAAAGTTAAAGTGGCCATAAGGTAAAGAAGCGGATATGCTTTACTTAGTGAAAACTTAAACGTGGACATGGCAAATGAAATATCCGACTCTTTGAGCTCGCTACCAACTGATTGACAAAAAAATAACTGCAATGCAAGGCAGCAACTTTGTTAACGACACAAATATAGTTTCTGTGGACAGTAACGCTAATGATTTTAGAACGCAACTAATCGACAACCTTTTAGCGTGTCCAGCACGTAGGACCATGCCGGTTGACAAAAAGTGCGCAGGACAGGAAGAGATTAATATTTCATCGATAACAATTGACTTGTTTTTTTTTTGTTTTTTTTGATAAACTGAAGCGGACCCATTGCCGCTTGCCGCCTGTTTGTTTTCAAACTACTCAGTGAGACGCAAGAACTGCCGAAGCAGCCGAACGCATCGTCGGGAGCGGAATGAAAAATTGTTCGGCACCCGA